AAAAACATCGAATAGTACAGTCGCAGAGAAAGTCACGCGAGTTCGGAATAAAAGGCCTAAAAGACGTTAACGCCAAGACAAAGATTTTTTCTTAAGTCCGTCACTTCACCGATTCCTGACTCCAGAATCTATAATCCGACCAACGCGCATCATAAATCACTAAAATAGGAATAAATAGGCTACAAAGAGAAATAACAATTTGTATAAAAAATGGATATTGCAAATAAATGTAGTTTTCAACAATTTAGAAAATATAGGCTAATGGGAATCAGCGCGATAATTGGTGCGCAATGATAATTTAAGTGAATATCACTATTTGTTTCGTGTACGTAGATTTATTGCCAAACGTTTCGGCCATAATTCTGGCCATCCTCAGTGGTGTTACAAAATTGCAATCAAATTGTCCTTAAAGTCATAGCTCTACAAATAACATAAATCTATATTGTCTGTATTGAGAAGTCATAAATGTTTAAAAAAATCTTCCAAAAACTGCTTGAAACTACAAACCATAATAAAACCATATCTGGCAACAATCGGTGTATGTTGCGTATAGGATTCGAAAAAGTAGTTATTAATATTTTAGAAAATGTTCTTTCAGACTTAATATCAAATAAATTGTTCATTAATATTAGTACTGATGATGCAGAAGATAAGAGTAATAAAATTCAAATATGGCCATTACAGTGTTGTATAATTAATGTTTGTCGATGGAAACCTGAAACAATAGGTATATATACTGCGGTAAGCAAAAACTAGATAATGCTATTGAATTCTTTTTCACAGTTTTTAACTGAATGCAAAAAACTTCGTTTAAAAGGTGGAATTTTTTTTAACAATAAAATTATTCCATGGAAATTTCAAGCGTTTATAGCAGGCGCTCCTGCACGTGCATTAGTACTAAATCATTACAGATACATGTCATATAATCCGTGTTCAAAATGTAAAATCATTGGTGTTTTGTGTGACAAAGGTCATCTAATTTTTCGAAGTATTGGTGATGAGAATTGTAATAATAAGGAATATTGGGAAAGAAGACCATCATAAAGTAAGTGTTCATATACCGATAGCTTCTTTTTTCCAAGATATCGTTGAATTGCACAAACTCCATTCGAATATACGCATTTGGTGTTATTAGGTGTAGTGAAAAAAACATTAAGTGCCTTTATCACTGATAAATAGGAAAAAGATAAGTTGTCCAAACATCATATTGACATGATAACGAATAGATTGAATATTATTAGCTCCTATTGCCCTCGGAAATTCAATCGCAAATCTAGATCAATTTCAGAATATGGAAATTTTAAAACAACAGAATGTTGTCAGCTTTTATTTTATACAGGTTACATTATTAAATATTATCGAGTAAAACGCTTACAATCACTTTTTATTGTTACCTGTGATTATAAAATATCTTTGTAATAATTTACTATTCAAAAAATTATTACGTTTTTCTGAAACTTGCAATAAAATCCTATGTGCAATTAACCAGTAAAGAACACCTAGGTGCGAATTCGCACCAAACAAATTTTTTTAAAGTTTTATATCCTCTGAAAATAAAAAGCAAAATTAAAGCAAAATGTGTTTCTCAATGTAAAATTGTCTGACCAATCAATTGGTAATATTAAATTTTTAAAAAAGAACGTAAATACATTATTTCAAATTTCGTGTTAAACAAAACCATTTAAAAGAAAGGTGTCCTTTACGGGTTAAGCTATTTACAACGAAATGTTTGTTTCATACAACGTGCATAGCTTACTCCATTTAGTAGATAATAAGAGAAGATTTTGTTCAATCGATCATTTTTCCACATTTCCATATGAAAACAACATGACTTTATCGAAAAAATTGTCGTAAACCTAATCAGCAACAAAATAGTGCGAAGGGCATAAAAAACAAATTGAATTAGATCTTGGATACTTCTAACTCTTTATATAAACGATTACAATCTGCCATAGAGATTGAGAATAATAACAGTCTTAGCTTTTTGATTGTGAAATTGATAAATGAATGTGGCAAAATCATTTTTGACCTATTCCATAAACCGACCGCCTCTGGAAGATATTTAAATTTCAACTCTAATCATTCTACCACTCACAAAAAGGCGTCATTTTGGTATCTTATCATGGTTAATAAGATAATTTCATTGTCCCATCCTAAATTTTATCAGAAAAACTTTATGTGTAGTATTGAGATTCTAGAAAATGGGTATCCATTAAAATTTATATTTACAACGATCAGAGGCAGATTAAAATACGTTTTTTATAATTCAAATATTAATAACGTAATGAACCCCATTCCAAATGGTAATAAAAAATTTTTTGTGGTCCCATACATTAATTCGGTGTCAGAAAAGTTTTCCTCAATGTCTAAGAAGCTAAATTCGATTCCACATACGTTAAAACATTCATCACAACGGACAAAGACATTTTAGACAAAATGTCTGTGATGTGGTCTATAAGGTAAATTTTCTAGACTGTGACGCGAACTGTGTTGGCCAAATTAAATGCCAATTAAAAATGCGAATTCAAGAATATAGATTGGATATCAATAAAAGAAGTGGTTCGCCCTCTGTGATCTCAGAACAACAGTCATGAGAAAGACATCAACGATACAATGTAAAATAATTGTTTATTGCACGATAAAGAAAATTATAATTTATATGTCGTTGAAAATGATGTTCAAACAATGGGGAAATTAAAGATAAATGATGTTT